TAATGGTTATCACTCAGGACTTTGAATCCTGCGATCCGAGTTCGATTCTCGGCGAGACCTGATTTTAATTTGCTTGAGATTTATTATAAGTCGGTGTAACATGATACATATGGTATTTTGTCCCTTTTCACAATTACATCTCGGTATTCATCATCTTTGACCGATCCAACCGGGTAAACCGAAAACCTATACAGAGAACTGAAACCAAACATTGATACTAATTTGGCGATCCATACCGAAAGAACGGTGCCATTTCGTATCGTTTTGATCAAAGACTCGGAAATGATCTAATGAGATTAGGATATGCAGCATAAGTGGAAAGGGGTTCGAATATCTCGTTATACAAGAACGTGACATGGGTACTTTACGTACAGTATTTGGTATTCGTCGCAGAATATTGCTAGAATTCGTATTTTTCTTTATTTTCCCAATACGCTTGGCCATAATAAACAAATATTTGTTCATGAGGCTGAGGAATAATAATAACAACAATAATAATAATAATAAAGAAGTTAGCATCCAAAACACTCAAAATCAAAAGGTACAGTGGATTGGTTTATAAGAACGGCATTACCATGATTTCCTCGAGAGCGACATACAGTACATACCATATATCGTCGTATATAACGTAGATTGGATTGCCATTTTGATTATCTATGGTATTAACGACAGTAAATCCAGTAAATCACTTAAATCAATAACACAGTACTGTATAGAGAAGAAAACCGAACCATCACGGTGATTGGCAAAGCGTAAATAATTTCCATGATGTTTGCCATCAATGCAAGTGCTCATTTTTTCTCCATTATCATCCAAAAGTTCAACCAAATAATTGAACTGCCACGCTAATGCAAAAAATAAAAAGTCGGTGAGCATAAAATTAAAAAAAAAAAAACGCAAGTTAAATTCATACCGTATTCTAGATCGGCGCCTTGTTTCGTAATAACTCCTGATCAATGTGGGTGACAATTAAAACGTGTTAGAATACAAACAATTTCGCCAAATGTGTACGAGATATCATACACTCACCATTATAGATTCCTAAAACATCCCCTTTCTCTATCTTACGTCCTGCAAACATGCCATATCTTACAATATCATTTACCCACCGAACGTATACTCGACCATCATCCACAAACGTCCCATTACCAACTTGGTATTTTTGTTCTTCGACAACGTGAGCGTAACGAGCAGTTGATTCGAGAGCACTTTCGACCTCAGACTGATCGATCTCAGTGTCATTCCTTAAACGAAAAGAAAGGTTATACTTCGAAAGATATCTGGAGATATCCGGATCAATTATCTGTAAAAATATCGATGGCATATGTTAAAATAATGACAGCACGACCATGTCAGAGAGAAGAAAGATCGCTTACCGGGAAATAAGCTGGTGTCACATTAAATTCTTGTTCAAACTCATCCATATATATGTGCCGATAAACGAATGCTCCATTATCTAAATGAAGGTAGTCTGTTGAGTTCGTGGGTTCAGGAACAGATATCCACGAGATTTTCTCTTGACAATCATTCAACACCCGACACACAGTTTGTTCCTTATGCTTTTCGTATGTGACAAAAATGTATATGACAAGTAACAATAGTAATACGCCAGTGATAGGATTAATGTTAAATGTAATCCTCTTGGATTCAAATAGCCAATTCAACGATGAAACCGCATTCTTTTTCTTCGCCGACCGAATATCAACGGAATTGGTTGCTCGTTTTCGCATGTTTGTGGTATTCGTCAATGTTCGAACAAAATCGATCGTTTAATGTTGGAAAAATTTCAAGCACGTTTATCCGAACACGAACATATTAAATATTGATATCAATGAGACTTTGTGATCCGGATCGATTACCAAACAAATCAAAGTAATAAAATCATCCCTCGAAAAAAAAAAAAAAAAGCAAACATCATGTTACATAAGAGAATCGGGTCTAAGCGGCGCATGTCCACTCCTAAGCTTTTAACTCGAAATAACAAGATGACCTTCGATGTACAATTTAGCAGCCTCAGGATTTCAAAGGAGCCCCAATTGAAAATGGTAAAGCCTCCAGACATAAGATAATATGGCATACATGTATAATTGTTTATTTAAAACACAACAACGAAAAAAGGGACAAGAAAATTCTACTGTAGTAATCATCGATGAACCAATAAGAATAGTTCGTTACATTAGGGCTTCCTGGTAATGGCAATTCTTTTGATTCAAAAGAAAAAAAAAACAATAACCTGTTACATTCGAACATCACACAGAAAAACAGGTCCATCGTGTATTATTGTTTGTTTGCTTGATTTTTTTTATTGTTTTATGTTTCCAATTTTGTTGAACCACGGAATTGGATTCAAAAATTCATGTATCAGGCTCGTGTTAATGGTTTCGATTATCCTTAACGCACATTATATTAGAGGTAAACGATTGACCAAAAAATTCGCATTCATTTATCGACAGAAGATTAAATGTTTTTTTTTGCTTTGCGCACTCTCGTGACAACCTTCTGGAAAACTAAGCACGCATTACACATTACACCAGTGGAATAGGTATCAAAATGCTAGTCGAATTTCTCATTATAGAAAGAAACTTGGATTCTTCGTGAACTGATCAACTATTTGGATTTTTGGAAAATAAAGCAACTGTCATCAAATCTATATATAAATGCATATCTGAAAACATTGTGCGCACAGATTTTTTTTCATCAAATCTATATATAAAAAGCATATCTAAAAACATTGTGCGTACAGATTTTTTTCTTCTCACGCATAAATTTTATCCTACAATTTAATAAGTGTAAATTTTGTCAAGATGACCATATCAAGGACCACCGACACAACCTTAACCCTTCACCTGAAGGTTCCCAACAATTTATCTTCATCGCCAAATCTTTCACCACTATCCTCACCAAATCTTTCACCGCTGTCAACGCAACAGATCCCAGAGCCTTTGGGACTTCAGACTCCACTCACACCAACATCTCATTTTTCATTTTCACTGCAACAACCTCCGATAGTCACCATTTCTTTGGAAATATTTGCAAAGATCTGTGAACACCTTACCCCGCTCGACATCATCAGTCTTTCAAAGGTATGCAAACAATATCGAGACTACCTGTGCTCAAAAACCTCGGCTGCCTCACAAGCCATCTGGCGCAAGGCAAGAACTCAATTCCTAATTTACCCAAGATTACCACCACCGCAAGGGATGGATGAGGA